ATTAGGTCACCTCGCAGCCTTCTTCTCTTCTTCAGGCTGAACAAGCCCAGCTCCCTCAGCCTCCCCTCGTAGGAGAGATTTTATGCATCTGCTTCACAGGTATGAAGTCAGTTAACTGATCAATGAATAAACCTTACACAGCAACTCCGGCTGGGAAAGTAATTCAAAAACCACAATGAAGGAAGCCCTGGCAAGAGTCAAAGGACAAGGACAGTACATATGTATGAATTTAGTATACTTTAAAAGTTGACTAGCTTTCAAATTTACCTTGTAATTTGAGATCAGTCTGAGATACACTGTTCAAAAGAGCCTGCAGAACTCCGAATGGAGTTATATTTTAACTATATTAAAATATTTTAAAATATATGTATTTGATATCAGTGTGTACCTGTGCTTTAATAATCCTCAATCTAAACTTCTATTTTAAATATATAACTCTTTGCACATGTCACTAAGTGTTACATACAAAATAGGAAGATGTGTAACCTGAGAAAGTATCAGGCTTAGAAAGACATGCTGATACTGACCTTTGAAGTAACAACTGTCGGAAGTTCCCACTTTGTGGACTAATGGTTAGATGGTGAGATAGATAGTTACACAACCGTGCTCCCATGTAGGAAAAATTTGGGACAGATGTGGCCTTCCAAAAAGAAGTGGAAAAGGAAATTATTCATAAAATTCATAATTAAGCTCTCAGGAAGTATCTTTGAAAGCTTTTTTGAAAACTGTGTTTAACAACAGTTGATTAGACAACTGAAGAGCAGAAGATTAATAATTACTATTTGTCACGTTAATTTTTGTATCTTATCAACACTTTGCTATATGCATTTCAGTACTTAAAAGTTCATTACACTGTGATTTTTTGGCTTTAAGAAAACAAGCACCATTATGCCACATGTCCCCAACTCTACTTCTCCACTGTGAACTAAAAGCAAAGAATGTCTGAAAGTCACTTACAAACTGTTTGTACAAAAAAAAAAAAATCAACAGTGGGCATTAAGACACTTTTTCAAGGATACACACTCTCTCAAGAAGCAATGAATCCATGAAAACAAATAAAAGAGTCACCTTCATTCAGTCTAAGAGCTATTTATCCCAGAATCTATTTTTGACAATCGCAAACGCCCAGGGAAAAAAAAAATGCTCCAGCAACCTGCAGAATAACAAACGCCTGATTCAGAGGTTAAAATTGTATCATTACAGTTAATTGCTCTTGAAGGGTCCTTTTTTCTAAAACAAGTCCTGTTACTGTTGAACATTCACACTTTTGTCATCTATAAACAGGTGGTAGCAATGAAATTCCACAACGTAAGTCATACACCATCTGAAAAATATTTTGCTTACAATCTGATACTTCAAAATTTCAAGTGGTGGAGAAAATTAAATGGGAATTCAATAGTGTCTACATTCAATGTAATTTTACTATGTGCATAAAGTCACTGGAAAAAAAGTAACTAATACAGTAAAATAGAACTCAGTTTCCAGTAAGAGGCCCGTGAAACAACAAACGAGCTTTTTGGTGCTTTAGTTCAATCAGCTGCTTGGACTAGAAGAGGTGCCCCCTTTTTAAATTCTTCAAACCTTAGCTGTATTTTTTTAAACATTATTTTCCTAATTAGTTGGTCTATATTTGTGGTTGGACCACATAGTGAAACAATTAAATTTTAGGTATTATGACCTGGCATAGCACACAGGGACCAAAAAAACCCTCACCTGGTATCTTCCTAATAACCAGTCATCACAGTGCAATATTATATCCCCTGAATTATTGTTGCTGGCAATCTCAGTTTATCTTCGATTCAAAATTCAGTCACAATCTAAGCATGAAGGCTAATCTACCCATATGTATCTCAAGAAATTTTAGTTGCTGTAACAGGAACAATCCACTGTATTAACTACACGACAGTCAAGATTCTTAAGCTATGAAGTCACAGTGTTCAACGTCTGGAAAACAAGAGAACTGGCACTTCACTCTACCCAGAGACTTAAATGGATTAGGAAGAAGAGCGGGAAGTATACAATTAATCCTTATACACAGGCTAAGATACCTGACACACAGACGAAAGGAAGACTGTACAGGACTTGGGTTTCCATCACAAACCTAGCCCCTGCAAATCTGCGCAGCTGGATTAAAATAACACCACTGAAGCAGATGCTTATAAATACACTTCAGCAACCTGAACTGCTTTGTGATAAGCCAGGAAACACAAATGCTTGAGCATCTGCTGAAGACAGAATGATAATAAGCATAGTTGACTTACGCTTGAACACTATCTTGAACACTATCCTATCCTGACACACAACAAAACTAAAACTGGATGCTTTTGGATACCAGCACAGTTTTTTTGTGTGCTATGTTTTATTTTTCACATAATTTCAGACTGGTAACACTCAATGCTTCTCAGGGGAGGAAACCACAGCCAACGCTAACACTGGACTTGTTTTTAAATAGGGGGAAAGAGGAAAAGGCAACATTAAAGACTTACACTAAATGACAGCCAATGTATTTAACATATATGAAGTTGAAAATAGGATAAATTCCTCTTTTTTTCTTCCAGTACAGTTATATAGAATATGGTAATTTTTTTAAACTATCCTCCGTATGTTCCAATAAAGGATGGGAAAATCATGCTGCCAAACACAGCACAGCCAGTCTTTACATCTAAATAAGCTGTCCTGAATTGAATTAAAATTAAATGTGCATCAATTCTGTATGATAATAAGAAACCTGAGATTGTACAGTTCTGTACAATGACCAACCAGTCATGCAGCTTCTACATACCCCAGATTAAAACATTCTGCAAGTATCTGCACTTCAAAGGTGAATAAGAGTTTCCATTCTACAAAGTAGAATTTGAAAGCAACCAACCCAGAAAAGTGAGAGACACTCAATGTAATAAACAGCAAGCACAAGTGTGACTTCATTCTCTGCAGCAAGCCCAAAAGACAGTAAGAGCAGCTCAACTGCCAAATGACACATATTAAGCTCTTCTTTCCAATGGCTCCCCCAATTAGTACAGAGTTCAGATTAAGGTCTCTGTCCTCATTTCCATGGCCATCAATGGGACTGGACCTAGCTACTGTCAGACAAGCTTTCCTTTCCTCCAATTATGCTGTTCTGAAATAGGTATATTCCAAATGAAGAAGAAAGCCTGTCAGTAAAGGAGCATTTCCCAAAGGGTGATGATGTGTACTGTAGGCATAATTTTTTTTTTTAATACCAAAGAAATGTATCTAAGTATTATGCAGAAGTTTTTTTGCAGGACAGAACAAAAATGTACAACTGTGACATTGCTTAAGAGTTTCTTCAATCTGTATTACATAAATACAGCAATTCAAATATAACTCCCTTTAACTAAGTGCTGTAATTTCAACTCTAGTATCCAGGACATCCAAATACACAACAAAGGAAACACAGTAAATTGGGGAAAATTATCAGCCATCCAGGTACCCCATACTCGAGCTACCATTTCAATTTATAGAGCAAAATCTTTCCCTTTATCTCTCAGGCTAAAAAGAACAATTCAAACCATCAAAATACTACATAGATACAATTATATAACAAATAATACTGGTAGGCGTATCTTGGACACCAGTTAACAGAGGAATGATATCCATGTTACATGAGAGAATACACAGGCTACCTGCTGATAGATGAGTTCAACAAGTTCTTGTAAAGCTTCATCTGCAGTGACCCAGCCATTCAGTGCTTCAGCAAACTGCTCTATTTCAGTTTCAAAACAACCTGGTTGCTCAGTGAGGTGATTTAGAAAGTCTTGTACATATTCTGCCAAAGTCAGATACCCATCATATCTATCTTCAAAGGAGGAATCCTAAAGTAATGAAAGAGTACACCAGTTATTTAAAAGGCACCTAAAATAATGTTGTTACTCTTACCATCTCCAGAAGTAACCATATGGCCCTTAGACGCGAGTCTCAGCACACTTGATAGCGACCTTTATTACACAGTTTGCATCAATATTTTTAGAGAGTGCAGACCTCAACGCATCAGAAGGCTCCAACTGTCCCATCATCTTAAGGAGTGGGTAACATGTTTTTATAGAAGTCAGAGTCTCCCAACAAAAGACATAAAAAGACAGATTAAAAAGAAATCAAACGATTTGCCAAGTTGGGTGCAAGATTAGCTAACAAACTAGTAAGTATACCTGTTAAGAATATAACCACCAAACTGAGGCTCAACACCCAGTCCTGATGCGCACACGAACTGTGCTGCAGATACATGAACTGTAGAAGGAAAAATAAATGAAAATTTGAAACAAAGTATTTTGGACTCACATAGTGTACAGTGCTCCAAAATATGTATAATAGGGAGAAATTACAGAAATACAATAAGTACAGTGTAGTTTTCCATCCTAATATTCCTCCCAGTAGCTGCTGTGTTTTGGATTTAGTACACGAAGAATGTTGCTACCACTGATAGTTTTAGTTGCTGCTAAGAAATCAAGGATTCTTTTGTTTCTCTCTGCTAATGACCAGGTGTGCAGGAGCTGGGAGGGAGCACAGCCAGGTAGCTGGCCCAAGCTTGCCAGTGGAAATATTCCATGCCATGGATGTCATGCTCAGTTTATAAACAGAGGTTGGCCAGGGGTCAGGAATCCTTTTTTCCGTGAATCCTTTTTTTTTTCTGGGAGTTTTAATTTTTCCAGGAGTTCGGTGTTTTTGGGGAGCATTCTGAAATTCGTGAGTTGTGGTTTCAGTGATCGCTGCTCAGGGACTGGCTGCAAATCGGTCACTGGATCATGAGAAAATCATATTGTGTAAAGTATGTTTTGCATCTTTAGTAGTAGTAGTATTTCCTTCGTTGTCGTACTAAACTGTCTTTCTCTCAACCCATAAGTTTTACGTTTTTTCCATTCTCCTCCTGATCTAACTGGGGGGGAAAGGGAGGGGTGAATGAGCGGCTGTCTAGTCCTAGTTGCCAGCTGCTGCGTTAAACCATGACATGTTCCCATGTAGAAAGTATAGTCAGGAAAACTGATCTTTTCAAGTCAGCAAATTTGCATCTCTTGGCAATGGGTGAAAGATTACAAGGCATGAAATCAAACTATTCAAAGAGTATTGAATTAGTTTGCACCTACTGAGGTTAAAAAACAGACAGTAAACACATGCTCCCCAAAGAAAGGATGAGCTAGCACAATACCATTTTATTGATGTTTATGCTCCTGCTGATAGCACAGGAGGCTGCTAATTTTGTCCATTCAGAAATGAATGTATGTAACAGTACCTAAAGTCAACACTGTTCTGGATGATTTTAATGCTAGTATATGAGGGGAACAGCAAAGGAAGCAGCATATTTTGTGATGTCACTAGTAATATCAGTACAACTAATTCACTTTGTCACATGACACAAAAGAGTGTGAAAAGCATCTCATACAGATTTCAGAAGTGCAAGCAGGAGCCTGAAGGACTGCTAAAGATATGACTTCTAATTAGTGATTCAAGACATAAGAGTAACATAGAGAATTCTCAACTAATCCACATTTTAAAACCACCTTCTTGTTAAACAGTATCTACTGCAATGAAAAATTGAGCTAAAAATAAGAAAATATTTTTTCTTTACCTAGTGGACATAAATACATTGATGAGATTTATAATTTTGTTCTCTGTCTCCCAACCACCCTTCCCTTAATAAGGGGATATAGTTTACTTTCTGTTTTCAAAATGCCTCAGTTTCTCCTTCTACTGTGAAGTAACATGAATCTGTGCACAAAGACTTTTATCTGGATATGAACAGTAGAGAAAGACAGATACACATTGCCGAAAATCAAGCACTGACATTAATTTCACAACCTGTTATAAATGCGTGGGGAAAAAAGGCAGGTTTTCCAAAATTCTTCAAGACCTATGTCCTAAGGGTATATAACTAATGGGGGAACACATCAATGTAACAAAAGAAAAACTAGAAAGATTTATTATGTTGTTTAATTAAGCAGAATATTTGCCCAGTGAGTAATACTAAAGACAAAGTTACTCAATGTTGCTTATCAGAAATAGGAAAAAAAATATGGGTTTATGGAAATAGTGGCAACTTGTTACTACTCACAGGGATAAAGCCTTCAACAACCTGATCTAAGCTGGTTTTGCTTTGATTTGGGGATTGGAGCAGAGAAACTTCAGAGGTCCTTTACAACCTAAAGTATTCTATGATTCTCACAGTTTGCAGCTTACAAAGCTGAACAATAAAGGCTAACAGGCTTACGTGTAACTTGCTAAATATTCTATTTTTCTAAATGAAATCAACTTTTACTAAGCGATTTCAAAAAGTCCAGTGAAAGTTCTGTACAACAAACCTAAACTATTTTGTTGCACAGAACTATGACATTATTGTCCAACAACTGCAGCCTAATCATATACAGCTGAACTAGCATCTCTCCGAACAACCTGTCTGAAAAGTCTCCAGCCAGGTTGCAGGGAATGCAGCTGCTGTAGCTAGTAAAAGAAGCTGCTCTTTCTGACAGCCATGAGGTTGTTACAAGATCCTCATTCAGTGGAGAGAAAGGTATCTTCCTCATACTCGCCTGATAAGAATTTAATTGGAAGAAAATATCCTTGTTTTGCAAAGGGCCTGAGTACCATTTTGTATACTGGTGTCCCTGTATTCATACCCCTCTTCCCAGTTCATAATGAAGAGGCTAAACACAGAGGCTGCACCACATTCATCTACCTGTACTACATACGCAACTCCAAAGGTAGTCCAGGTTTTAGTAATCATACCAGGGAACAGAACAAATGGGAGAGAAAAATGAGTAACTCAAACATTATAATAAAATTGTAAATTGCTAAATTAATAACACTTGATACTTTAAAAACTAATTTAGCCCGGTAACTTCTAGACACAAACCACTTGCATTTCTCATTGGCAGATTTAAGATTTAACAGAGAAGACAGCACCACATACTGTACCAGCTAAAGGAAAACAAAGCAAATCTCTCTTGATTATTTTTAAACAGCAGTTGGCTAACAGGAGGCTATAAATTGACACATTCATTATAAATTTATGAACCAAAGCCATGAAAGTCAAGTAGAAATTTTCCATTAATTTCAATGATTTCTCAGCCAAGCCAACACTGTCTAATCCTTCTCCTTTCTGTTTGATAGCTGTAGGATGGGATCCTGGATTATTCACAACAACAGAAGCATCTCTTCTACTAAGAGTCAGTTCATGAGTTTAAAGACATAACGAGGAAAAGGCTAAATATGTGCTAAAACTCTTCTGATTTACATAAAGATGAAAACCAAAAAGTCCACAGAGTCAAATGTGCTCTTGGGCTCCGTTTCTGTACATGTGCTAATTACCACTTTCCTATACCTGATAACTATTCATAACATTTCCACTTACTAACTTAGTCACTAATATTTATCATGGATTTGATTTCTCTTCAGACTTCTTTGGAAAAGCTTTTTTCCTCTTCAGACTATATGCACTCAACAAGTTTACAATAAAGTTCTTGCAAACTGAAGTACAAAGACTGCTGCATATACAAAATCACCTGTCCATGCCATATGGGGTTTAAGCGGCACGCTCATGCTTGGCTAAATGTGTAAAACCAACACTAAGGTTGCTGAGCCTCCTTTTGGAAATTCACTGAAGGGAGAAAAAAAAAAAGTGCGGTGGGGGAAGGATTCCACCTAAGATCATAGAAATCTCACTGAGAACATCATTATGCCCTTCTGATGGAGTGACAGCCATATTATTATCATACATGCATGCCAGAGACCAAGTCCGACACTTTCTATTGGCAATCCAAACCTAAATCTAGCCACCAATTCTACTGCAGACATCCACAACTCCCAGACGGTGTATGCAAACAGGGAATTCCACAGAAGTCGTTCTTCCCCAAAGTCCTGGTAAAGTTCTTCTGAAATTTCTAGTATGCCTGGTGTGCTGTAGCCCTTAAACTATCTTCACGGGTAACTGACAGGCAGAACTAACTGGAGATTAACTAATTTAATAATCAAATCTCATATGGACACACATAGCAATTACTGTATTGACAATCAAACAAGAAATCAACACTTTATTTGTAAAACAATAAATGCTTAACAGCAAAACCACTACGTATTTTATATGAGAAATGAGAGTTTTCAGATCGAAAAACTCCAGGGAACATTATAAATGAAAGCTAAAAAGGACTAATTTAAAGCCTGCAAAACAGAAGTTTCTCAAAACTTTGTTTTGATTCAAACATTAAAACTAATGGTCCAAATCTGTGTAATAGTGAAGTGTGCTAAATTTCTTAATTTTATTGCAAGTGAGCCCAGCTTATGAAATTAATTCAGTGATTAAAGTAAAAAAAAAACCCCAAACTTTGTAATAGTGAAGGACGGAAGTCTGAAACACCACTATTCTATGCCTAGTACATTCTGATTAGATTAAGCTCCCTGCAACCTACTTCCAAATATATGTTCTAGGTTTTGCTAGCATTTTAAGAGGTATTTTTATTAATAGATGAGTCACATTCATAGCATATCCCTACAACATAGCAACCAGGAACTCCCACATGCTCGTGTGTTTTTGCAAAACAGCTGAAAAGAAACACTGCTGGCCGCAAAACTTTGTAATTAGAAGTATGAAATATGTACGCCATTTCAAAGGGCGTCTTGAAACTCGAATTCTTTGTTTAAGTAAAACATGTAACGTGTAGTGGGGCAAAGTAGTTATTTTTCCCCTGGATTATCCATTCACTGAAGCATGTCTGTGTTGGCATTCTGTTAACAGTTGTATATTGGCTATAGGCATGTATTATCCGGGACAGTAATGCTATTCTGTAAGCTGGCAAAGCTGGTAACATTAACGTAACATCCATTTTACTGGTGAGGAAAAGACTTTGAAACACCCAATTACCATATTTAGCATTCAAATCAAGTACTTTTCTGTAAGTTATTCAAAATCTATTTGTTTCAGTATAATTGTTTTTCATCGCCTGGTTGTATTTGTAAAAGTAATAGTTCCCACTATATACAGTACCAGAGTTTGGCTGCCTCCATAACAAGAGGATATTCCAGATATTACACAGATCTTCCATGGAACAGAATTACTGAAGCAATAACATGGCAGACAATGGAGCCAAAAATAAGAAGTACCAACTTCTGTTCCATGATGGATCTACAATATTGATCTGAGATCACCCTTAGTTTGGCTTCAAATGTATTTCTTATTAGGTATGTGGGTAGATAACTGCTAGGAATGAGCCTAACCCCACTGTTGTGCCCTTTGGCGATACAATACCACTGAAGGAATTAAAAGACATATGATGGTACATTGAGCTAAGTAGTCATGCCCAATCATACCCATGACAGTAAATCTAGGAATGGTAAAGCCTGTGCTCAGAAAAGCTAAAATTCAAGCCTTCTCCCACACTTGCTTCAAAAACCTGTGGAAATTGCATAAGCATGCAGCTAAGCCTTTACTTAAAATGCAGGGTAGATGTAACTACAACAGAGGCAGCTGCCAAAAAGACAGCTTACTCTGATGTTGGGTGTAATCAATACTTGGTGTAATCAACAAGGAACGCAGTTATCTGCAGCAAGGTTTAGCAAAATATTCCGCTCTAAAAGTTCTCACACACACCACGATATTCACCGATTATCACTTCACATTCTGGCTGTGACTCTGGAGAAGAAATCAGCATTTTTTGAATCTCTTCAGCAAACGCAGCATTCAAGCTATCTGATATACAAGATCTCAAGAAAACATTGTTAATTTGAATGTAAGTAAATTGGCATATACTCAGAAGAAAAACACTCACTGTAAAGTTCTGACTGATGTTCTGGTTGTACCCTGATGGGTAAAACTCAGGTGCTTTAGCAGACAACTTTGATGTCACCACTTGAGACACAGTCACTGGAGGTTCGGCCATTTCTGGTCCAAAATCAGAAACTGAAACTTTGTCTTGTGATCCAGATGGAATTCTTGTCTGATGCAGGGGTTCTGAAAAGTTTTTAACAGCTTTTGTTAAAAATCGCTGAACTAGTATGTATTCCCACAGAGAGTAGACACAGAATACATAATTTTTAAAACTTTCAAGTTTACTTCAAATATATTGTTTTTATTGTTTTTCTTGAATATGGATAAAGTTTTCACTTTAGCAAACTCTAGAAGTCCTTCTATGTGATACAAAGTAAACACAATGTTCAGGTGAAGGTGACCAACAAAAAGGGAGAGGAAGGGAAAAAAGCCCTCTCTCCTCTCCATGAAAACATGTTTTCCAAAAGAGCTAACCTGAGAAACTAGTAAACCTGCTTATGGTATGCTTGCTCATCTTGTGGGTGTTCTTCCCAGATTTCAGATACAAATGCAAGACTTTGACGGTCAATGAATGGAAGACATCACTAGTTTTTGACAACACTAATTTTTAACCTAATCCTCAAAGACACTTAGCTATTGTTGTTCCTGTCAACCATTTGCCAAAAAATCCAATGAAATAGTGTTTTTCAAACCATATTTTCCACTTTCTAAACGTGTCTTTATAGATTAGCTCCTAGGTTTATTGAAAACAGAACCCGATACCTACCTGGAAAGGCTAACCAACAAACAATGCTTTGTGTTAGTGTTGTGCTCATTTTTCGGCAAACCTTTAGCCTAGAGTTCTTCAATAAGGGGAAGGCTGAGACCATCTGCGGTCAGATTAACAGACGGATAAAATGCACACGCAGATGCCAGGGTACAGGAAGGAGGGAACGGGCAGAGAGGTGTTGTGAGCAGCTACAACACACCTTTACCTGGTCACAGGCCCACAGCCCAGAAACACGACCGCTCT